GAATGGTCGAGCGTGTAACACGAAAAGAGATGACGTGTCAATTAAGCTACCCTACAATCCACCGGAAAGTAATATGCAAGAGAAGGGTCCCAGGGATGATCGTGGAAAGATAAATCACGCTGAACCTCTCCTCGATCCTGCTTCATCGGACGATTACTTATATCCGTCATTGGAGAATCGACGGCTCGTATGCCGTTAACCTTCCTTTTCCGCGTACAACGTACACCGGACACGCTTCTTTCAATCGTGGAAAATTACACTCGACCGAAACTGTGATAAGGGAAACCTCCGGTTGACACACTTGCCAATTTTCCAACGTTTCGACACCATTCGTCGCCCTTCCGCACCTTTCGACCGTTGGAAGAATTCGTATTCAGAGGCCAGCTACCTGTTGGCCAGCCGCGATCCAACAAGGAAATTCTTTTCCCTCGTGGTGTCTCCTTAAGGATTCCACTTTCGCGCCGTATACCTGGCCGACACCAACCAAGCGGATCTTCCCAGAAATTCTTCCAGTTTTCCTCGAAACACGACACTTCAGAACGACACACACACTTTCTTTCCCGTTTCTCACTCGATTATCTCCGGATCTACGCGATTCAGTCGCGACTGTTTCCGTTGGACGGGAGAAAAAAATTCGAGAGTGTCGCGTCGGCGACGAATCGCGACAATGAGGGACGGCAGTTCGCGTAAGCCGAGTGGCTGGTCAAAGACAACGGCATGCGAAACGGAGAGAAATCCCGCGGCAAATTATGCAGATCTGACGTATTTGCATTTCGTTTAGCATACACGCGGCTACGTTGCACGCTCGCCTCAACCACGCTACGGACTTTCATCTCTTTACCATAAAAAAGTGCACGGTGTCCCGATCGATACTCGCCCTATGGATCTCGCGACGATAATCGATCGATCTCACCTTACGTTTCACCCTTCGAACTTCTCCGTATTAAGACTCGATTTCAAGCTAGCCACCGAACAGAACGAACACGAAGTGGGACGATCGATCTGTCATGATCGCTTTCTTGTTTTTGCAACGAGATTACCAACTCGTTGGCCGCGTTCGCGAGCAACTAACAGGGGATAAAAGCTTGTAAGTTCGACGAGAACTACTCTGTATTTTTACGACTGTAGAAATTTGTCGCAAGATAGCGTAGTCGAGCGTTGTTTCGCTGGGAGAACGGTTTATGAAGGGAGTCGAAGGAAGGAAACGGCGAACTTTCCGAGCGATACGGATCGGTGGAAAATTTCGCCCGGCGAAAAGCGGTACAGAGCGCAAATTACGCGGACGCGGAACCCTTCCGTAAAAGGGAAAACGCGCGTTAAGGAATCATGTCCATTCTCAAGGTCGACCGGTATCCTACCGGCCCCTACCGTAGACTGCATAACGCGTTTCTATTACGCGGTCAATTGCAGCGATTGTTGCGTGTCTCTCGCAATCAGCGGCCACGGAGCCTGCACGCGTGCTTTCTCTTTCTCCTCTTCTCGATCTCTCCCCTTTTATCTACCCCTGTCTCCCGCATTTTTTCCGCGGTTTTCGATCGAAAACACCGAGGGGCCAAGCAACGCGACGTTCTTCGAATTTACGAGCGTTGAAATTATACCGCGCCGCGTGCTCCTACTCTGCGATCGGTCCACGGAGAATAGGATTAATTTGACGCGATTAGATATCGAATAACCGACTTGCGATGTCGTAACGAGAGAGCGTGTAACGGGTGAGACGCGTCGCGATACTGCGAATGCAACGGGTGAAAAAAAAAGAAAAGAACGGCGAATCAGAGAGAGAGAGAGGGAGGGAGGGACGTCGCGTACTGGCAAATTACGCGGACAAGATTGACGTTTAATGGGTGTCAAAATAACAATGGCAGCGTCATGGAGATTAGATACCGCGGGCGAATGTTAAACGAGGGTCTCGACGTGAGGAAACGATAATCCTGGGTGAATTGAAACGACCGATAAATCATAGCGGGGATTGCAATTCTATTTTTGGCGATTGTGAACGTGCATCGGGGAGCCTATTAGTCAAATTGAGGCGAATTACGGTCGTCTCGCGTGACTGCGATAAATCAACTCTTTTTCGAAGTAGCTGAATGGCGCCCTGTTTCACGAAGAATATCGGTCTTCTACTTTTCACCAGAGGTATTCTTAAGGGAACGATATTATCTTGGAATTTTTATGCGAGGTGTTTCAACGGGTGGAGGGAAATTGGTCCATTCTGTTGCCCTGAAATATCTTCATTCAGCTTAACTCCTTCTTTTGGAGCAGTGAGTCAGAATCGTGACAGAGATTCTAGCGAAGGTGTGGCAAAGACAGTGTTTTATTTCAAAGTTACGACAGTGACGAAGATTAATTTTAATTCTAGATTTATCATTAGAGAAAATTATCAAACTAGTTGAAAATCACGGATTTCAGATTTTTTACTTTTGCCCAAGTATATGGCGGCTATTATAATTTCGAAGTTCCTTAAGGTATCTGTTCCAAGTGAAGTTAGAAAATATTTAGAAAAAGTTTGACAAGCTCTATCATCCTATGATACGACTTTCTTCTAATTTCACGTGAACAGAGCTACAGCCTGGCCCAGTTGCCAGAATCACCCTGTACGGTCTACCTAAATACACTCTAAACCACACTCAACTCCCGTCCTCCTACTATTAACCTAAATTTCACCACCTCACCCTACTCCAAAATACCAATTTTGTCCTACCAATCTCCGAACTACATTCCCCAAACTATCTCTCGCAAGATGGAACCCAATTTTAAAATTCGTTGCACAACCTCGCCAGAGAGAAGATCCCGAATTTAGCAATCACGGTTCTTCGGCATCGCCGCGGAGGTAGTCGATCCGGTGACCAGAACAAAGGCGCCTTTCCGTGACGGTTGCGCCACTCTGAAACAGCGTAATCACCGTGATTAACGTGAAAACTATGTCTCCGATGCATTCGTCGTGGTGGCTTCTACTCCGAGGGCAGTGTAGCGACGATCGGAAACAGGCAGCCACGTGCGTGACACGTATCGTGACGAAGAGACAATGCGCGGATCGATACGCGGCGGCACGGCGATTTAAATACAAGCAGACAGTGACACGTCGTGCATACCTTCGCTTTCTTTCACGACAGCAGCCTCGTTCCGCTCCACGAGGCCTCTCCACCGTCGTCCTCTTCGTTGTTTCGAGAGTAAACGTGATCATCCGCCGCGCTCTCCAACTATTTAGGAATGGCTTAATGGCGAAGCGATCATTGAATCGACCTCGAGAGCGACGTAGAGAGAGAGGGGGAGAGAATCGTCGACCTTGACAAAAGGCAAGGCAGATGGTCAGCAAGAGGATGGAACGTGTTGGTTCTCGATGCAGCCTGTGGATGGTATGCGCGACTTGGAGTGCCCACCAAGTGAGCCTGGCTTTTTTCAAACTGGCCAAGAACAAGAGGAGGAATGTCGAACG